AAAAAATAGTGAGTGACTTCGTTTCGCCTTCCTTCATTTTCGAACGGAAGAGAACTCGAAAGAGGTTCATGCTGCTGCTTCGAACCCAATGAGAGCAAGAAGAATAAGAAGACAGTGATTCCAATCCGGAAAGATTGCAGTCGAAGGTGAAACGTCACTTTTTTCATTTTATGAACATTGAAGATGTTTCAAGATTTTTTTTTATGAAGGGTTTCCTAATATTATTTCCTTTCTTTTATATCCCTCTTTGACGTGCGACAGCAAATTCTTGCTCCAACTCTATGCTCTAACAGTTAAGAGCATTAAATACTGAAAATAAATTATTCACTATAATTATATTTTTTATTTTTAAAATGATTAAAGTCTTCTTTGAAAAGATTTATTCGAATATTTATCGTAATATGATTGATAAAAAGCCTTAAAGTAGCTTTTAGATGATTTTAAAAAATTACTTTCTTGTATAATATTGGAAATTTAACAATAAAATTTTCCAAATTTATTTTTCATACAATTTTCTATCTATTATTATGGAATTTCTCATCTTCAATTCACGTTTCGACGAACAACTCATTTTGATCCCTGGTGTTTCCATAAAGGATGTACGAATAAAAATAAAAATGTCCTGATGATCAACGATTTCTTGTAGATTTTACTTTTGTGATTTTAAGACTCAACTCTTGATGTCACTTCAACTTTCCTTGAACTCGTAATTCAATTTCATCGAATTTCTAGGGTAGAAGAGCTAAATTGCCTGCAGATACGATAGAAAAAAAAACTAAATCAAATTTTACCGATACGAGAGCACGTAATTGGAGATCAGCTGTAGAAGACACTGGTATCGATCTCTTGTTTTGTATTTAAGGCGTTGTATTTTGTGTATAGATGTATTAGGAAACAAGATTACACGAAAAAAAAACCAGTGACAAATTTCGATTAGGAGTCATTCGTGTTTGACAATCCATTAGCAAGTACATAAGTCTTGACATCTTTACCTCAAGCCTTAATTAAAATTTACAAACCACCCCGCATACACTTAGGATTCAGATGCTAACTTTTTCTACAGCAGGTCACTCACTCTTCTGGCTTATTATGCTTCTACTTTTTTCTACTAAGTACACAAAACCAAACCCCTGTGCTTGTAATGCTAGTCAGCCAATGTTCTACTTTTTTTTAACACGAAAGGAAATGAGGAACAAAAAAAGAAATGAGTGAATGAATGAAAAACTTTTTTTCTTTCTTTCTTACTGTCCTGTGCTTCTCACTAATGTGCTGGATTCACTCTCACTCGCTCTTGATGGTCGGCAGAACAGAAAAGTCCATCCACTAGAACATGATATGCTCCACATAAGCAACCAACAAATGTGATAGCTACAGTGTACTACCACTATAGGATTTGAAGATTATGATGACGTGAAAGTAGTCACTGTGATTAATGAACTCTTCTGGGTGATCATTCTTTAGCTCCAAGTTAAAATACTCACAAAGCTTCTTTAGATCAACAAAATCCGATTGAATTAACTTTTTAAGTTCTGTAAAAGGATAGTACTTAATGACTATGATGATAATTTGACATTTATTTATTATCCTTTTCATCTTTATTCCCTTTAATGAAATATGATTATTTGATTCTTAATCATCCCGTAGCTATTAATTTTTTTAACTTAATTTTTTTCATTGCCAAAAGAATGAATAAAAGTTTTTATTGTATCTCATAACTATTTATAATTCTCGGAAAAATATCTGGAAAATGTTTCAAACTTGCTTTTCTAACATGTTGAAACAACAAATCGGTACGTGATAGAACGAAAGCTAATGTTTATCTCAAATTTAAATTCCTGAAATTTGTAAAATCTATCTCTATTTACACATTCTTTAAAAGTTTGCAAGTCAGTGCTATTCATCATCGAAAAAATTGAATAATATTTGAACATTGGATACTTCACAAACTATTTCAAGTAGAGTAAGTCAATAACCAAGCAGACACACGGTTTTTTTCAATTATTTATGTATTTGATATTTTTGTTGAAGTAATAAACAAAGTGTTCATTAAAAAAAAAGAAAAATCCAGCTATTGGTTTAAATAATAATCGAATTAATTTAAATGGATTTAAAAAGGGTTTTCTAATAATTAAAACAATTTGTATTATTTTTCAATCAAAATAGTAATGTTTTAGTCTGTTGTAAAGTTTGAAATTTAGTTGGGCGAGTTTAACAATTTACGTAATTGATTACAGGGCAAATATCCAAATTTTCATGAGTGAGTTCATTTTCTCAAGTGCAATGAGTTTATTTTAACATCTATTTCTATTACTGTTTATATTTCGATGTTAAACAGACATTAAATAAATCAAAACATTACTCAATTGGCGTGTGATTTTTCATTTTTATTTTTGTTCTACCACAGTTTTCAAAATATCCATATTGTGGGAATGCAAGACGAGAGGAGAATTTAAAGCAAACAGAACAAAATGCCAAGAATGAAAAAAATTTCTAAAGAAATTTTCACGTCAAAGGAATGCTAAAGAATTTAAGAATGTTCTCGTTTCGTTTTGCTAATATTTACGCGCTTTTTACGGAAATCTAGGATTACAATTTATAAGATCTCAATGAAAAAAAACTTTGCTTATATGTCAAAAATTCTATTTATTTAGTTTTATCTAGAAAATTTTTAAACAAATTATTTCCTGCATCGAAATGGCTTCAAATCTTTTAGTCAAGCTTTAAAGCTTATTTTTTCAGATAAAATCTCCATTTATAATGACTGTTTTTATTCCGCAAAGAAAAATGATGAAATATCATAGGAAAAATAACAATCTCATAAAGAAAAAGATTGTAACAGCGTAATAAATTTAAAGTTCATGTCGACTATTAATTTTAGAGCTTTACAAGTAGTTTTATTTCACAATGTTTGATGTTAAAAATCAGATAACTGAAACGCAACATAATTTTTATGAAATTCTATCTTTGTTCCAACTAATAGGACTAACAAACATAAATCTATCTAGTACGTAATGCTCACATTCTACAATAATTCCCTTTTCGTCTTTTCCACATATCCAATCTTTTGTATTTTTTATTCTAACCGGACGCTAAAAAACAGCTGTCATATCATTCTCGTTTACTCCGTCGTTCGGTATAGAAACTTCCTCAGTAGACGATAAGCCGTTTAAAATACGAATGAGTTAAAGTATCCCCAGCAATATTTTTATGCTTGGACCCGATAAAAACTACCGCAATGCTTTTCGTAATTAACTGTCGCAGCGAAAGGAAGAGGGATCCTGAAAAAAATCAGATGGTTGATGGGAGAAGGAGAAAACACGTTGGTGTGGATCGTGAAAAAAGTTGAGTGGCTTCCTGTGGTGTAGAAAGATGAGAGGGAGATGCCGATAATGGGCAAAGTCGGATGATGGAAACCACAGCAAAATGGATTAATTTGCTTTCTGTCTTTCTTCATCTAACACTGCTACCTATTAGTTGTCATATTTCCGCTATCAAACTCCTTTTATTCTATTTCGAGTTTAGCTATACTAGATTTTTTCACCATTGAACAAGTTTTCAATTAATGTGGAAATCAAATAGTCTACTGAAAATATAAAGAATTTGTAATCATTACTACATCCATTCAGTGAATTTTCAATTGATTTTAATGGTTTAGAATAAAAGGACTAAAATTATCTTACTATTTTAATTAGTATTTTATCAATCTCAAGAGTAATTCATGATACCAAAATCTTGGTCAATAATGAAATAATATATTCAAGATTTTACATGGCAACCGTTAAATACTCTAAGTAAACGATCGTTGTAGTAACAGTTAATTTGAACAAGCGAAAATAGGATGAAACAAAGATAGACATGAAGACATGTAGAAAAGGATGTGCATAAAAGGTGGTGAAGACGTTAAGACTGTACATAGTTTGAGTGTATTTAACTTGTTAAATAGCACTGTTGGTTCAAATAGAAGTGTCTGGACACTATGGTTACGTTAGAAATTAGACTGGAAGTTAAATCGTACACTATTTGTCTCTAGTAATTATCTATCCAACATCATAGCAGCTTTAGTCTCTTGCGAGCTACTAATCATAAACAAATATTTCCATTTTGTACCTAATTTATTTGTTGTCAGTAATAATACGAGTAATTATAGCTGTCATTACTTGTATTTTATGTAAACTTTGAAATTAATAATAAAATATTTAACAGAATTATCCATTTATATTGTTTATAATTGTTATAAATTGCGAATGTAATAACTCATGATTCTCATAAAATCATTTAAATAGGGATCATATAATGAATATCATTTTTGAGGGAAAAGCATGAGCTATTGTCAGACTTGGAAATTCAATATCAAATTAAATGTTTTTTAGTTACAAATTTCAGTGTTAAATGAAATGATTATATTATTGCAGATAAAATTAGTTATAATATGAGGATATTAATGTATTAAATTTCAGTATTCAGTTCTTTGTTGATAAAATAGAGGAGATTAATGAAAATGTTTACTTTTATTTGTCAGGTAAATTTGTAAAGCATTTCGCTTGAATTACTTCTCGATATGAAAATCAAAATAAAAAAGTTTAAATGACGTAAAAATTTCAACAGTTATTTCAACTTTAGTACTCATTGGTTGTAGAGTTTTACCAGCAGTGAACATTTTTTCCAAGCCGTTTATTCCTAATTATGACGGTGCTCAATGTAGTTATAACAGGTAAATGAGATTAAAAAAAAAAACAAGAGACAAAAATATCAAATAAAGAAAAAAATGAAGAACTTTAAAATAAAGCAATAAAAGGGGCAATGAACCATAGAAATTTCATCGAATTTGTTCAGTGATTCGTGTTACTTGTCAGCTTAACATTAGAGAGTTAGATTCGTGAGTCAACTCACTTCATTCATCCGATGCACCTGATTTAATTAAAATCTTTTCTCTCCATGGATTTTTTTCTTTTTAAGTGATGTCAAAGACAACAAGAGGTAAGTCTTGGTCAATTACTCACCAACGGTCGTAACCACTGTAAGCGAATATAGAAAGGCCTTCGCAAAATTCCACTCGTACTCGTAGAGTTTACGCTCAGTTGGATCATCATTGTTGGACGATTTGTGTGTATTGGTAGGATGATTCGCTTGCATACCCTCGGTTAACGTCTTCACTAAGTTTTCTTGAAAACGTGATATTTCTTGCTCAGTCATGCGTGTCCAATTGTCTGGATATAGCACGTTAAATTTGTCAGTGATTTGCCAAAGACGTTGCACAGTTTCCAGTCGTGTATTTTTCAGCACCTATGAACATTAAAATAATTAATAATACTATTGAAAACAATCTTTCATTAAAATAGATTAATTAACTATTTCATTAAATGCTTTTTTAGAGCAATATTAAGTTACATTTAATTTGTAAAAAGTTTCGTAGACAAAATAAAACATCGGAAGCACATCGAGTGTATCCAGCATCAATATCTCTTTTATCTCAATTCAATAATGTCTCATTAAGATTTGAAATGTTTATAAAGATCAGGAATGAGGAATGAACATAATAATAGTTAGTTTACTTGATAACTAAAAATAATTGCCAGGATTCAAGCGGACCAATTCGCTTAAAGCTTCTTCTTGCAGAAACTTTAGAATTGTAAGGAGAGACGACGACGGGCGGGAGGGTTATCACGATTTGCGATAAGGATTCGTGTGGCAAACGGCCCGAGAGCTAATAAATTTCGATTTAGTATCTACTTTGGATTGTTTATTTTCTTCAAAGAATAAAAGGAGGAGTCTACAAATTTTACAAACATCTAATAGATTTTTTTTGTGCTAATAACATCCAACTTTTTGCTTTTACACTCATCAAACATACTTGATTAAATAAATAAATTTAATACTCTCTGTATAATTTTGGAGATCGAATTAAAATTTATGATGCAGATATTGAGAGGGTATTTATTATAACGTAATATCCATATTGGTACCAAAGCAATATCAGAAGTAGGATGGAGCGAAGTACTTTAATACTCATATAGCGATCCAACGAGATTTTGTGGCACCACGTCCCAGCCTGGTATTTTAATGACATCAATTTATCTATCTAGCAAATAATTGCCAGTTCGACCGTAATATCTATCATCAATTAAGTGCTACAAGCTACCGTGGGACCAGCCAGTAATTAAATGTATACTATTTTTCTAAACTAACAAATATCTCATTAACATAGTCAAATAATTTCATATCAACACAAATTGACTTCCATGAAAAAAAAAAACCAAAACAAAAAAAAATTTAATCATAATTATAATAAAAAGTTGAGAAGATATTTAAAACTGATACACAACCTTATTTATCCAATCAGTGGTGTTGTGCCGATTTTCTTTCGAGATAGTTGGAAGACTCTTTTGATGAAGACCTCCATCAACATCACCTTCAATATTAAGGAAAATGAAACTGCCAACGATAGTGTATGTAACGAGAGCCGCACATATACAAAGGTTTATGATGAAACCTTTGAGGAAAGAGTGGCGGCTGGCAAAATCGGGTACTCCTCCGAAGCAAAGACAACCGATTTGCGTAGATTGAGGCTTAGAAGACTCTCGTAAACGCTTCAAAGACGATGTATTACCGTTGTTTGCAGCCTTAAAGCCGTCATAAGTCCTGTAGTGACGGTCCTTATCCATCCTTCTTCTTCTTCGTCCTCTTAACTATTCTTCTATCTTCTCCTACGATCTTAAAGATCTCTCGTCCTGTTTCTCCTTAGTTTTTAACATCCAGTATCGATCTGAACGCCCACGAACATCACAAATTATAATTCCTTGCATTTATTGTACAGCAGGAATTCATTTATTTATTCACTGAGATTTATTTATTTAGGGAATGTTTATTATTAATTAATCTCAAATTTTTCACTATATTTACACATTAAATGTTCCCAGAATTAGTTGGATTTTAAGAGTAATTTGATGGTGAAGTCTACAGTGAGGTAGTTTGAGAAGAGAATTCATGTATCTAGTTATATGACGACTGTTTAAGTGTAATAAGTTAATTAAAAATGATGCACTTGACACACGGTTACGTACCACATGAGATGGACGTCGCGTACACTTTGTGGAGGGGCAACTTGCAAATCGCGATTAAACGTAAATCGTGATACTTTGTCACCGGACGGACATCCACCGACGCCCCGTTGTGCCGATCCACGGTGAATAATTCATTCTGCTTTACGCGCGAATCGTTTATACCGTTGGACGGAGACTGATGACGTTTCGCGGTTTGCGCGCAACGATAATCGTTACGATTATATCGTTTCCGAAAATTATCGTGAGAGATTTCTCATCTCACTATTATGCCAATTATTAACATTATCATGACTGCCTTCCATATCATTTGCATGTTGTAATGAATCCACTCTTCAATTTCGCTAAAACATTACAAAAAATACACTTGCATTAATGTCACTTATAATTAGATGATCATTAACAGATTTAAAATTTTATTTAATGATAATTAAAAATGTTCAGGGATCTAATGGATATTTTTTCAATTATTTTAATCTTTCTCTATGCAACGAATGAAGTTAGAACTTGATGAAAATTTTAAAAGAATTTATTTCCAGCATAAAAAATATAGAATTAACAAATTTTTTTTATGTAAGTTCTTTTATCTTTCTCATTTATATTTTTAATTACTCACTTGTTTTTCAACGACCAGAACAATCTAGTTGGAAAGCCTTGGACACTCAAATCTTTTTTATTCTTTCCTAGCACGTCCGCAGCTACTGCAATCGCGTTATGAATATTTTTTCCAGTCTCCCCGACTATTCTTAGGGGAGACACTCATCGAGTTTGGGTTCATACTGTAGAGAAAGCTGCTACGAATTCCGTGTATCTAAAAAAAAACTATTTTATTTTATAGGAGTTCGTTTTGATGCTAGTTAAGTAAAAACGATGAAAGTTTTATGTGCAATTGTCTTTTGTTTTTTTTTTGTTGGTTCATTCAGATTCTCCTTTTTAAGTCAACTCAGAGAAATTGTTTTTTTTCTTTTTATCCATCGCTTCTTTTCTCTAGGCAGTCAGTCTTTTGTTGATTCAATCTGAAAAAAGAAAAATACAATTCAATTACAAACTGATGATAATAGATTGTCTTCAATTGAATTTTTTTTTATACAATTAATTATAATTTATCATTGTTAAAGAAATATTTGTAAAATACTATTAGAAATATTTTTGTAATATTTTATGAATGCTTTACAGAGTTATAATTCGATGAAAAAGAAGTTAAAAATTAGCTAGGATCATCAATGTGAAAAATTCTTCAGTCAATTGCCTAACCTTTGATTTTATTCAGCCGAAATCAAGCTTATAGTAGTTCTATACTGTAGTAGATAGTAAAGAGATTGTAGAGGAAACAAACTCGACACAAACACATGATTTCCGGTGAACAAACAAAGCTTAGAAAGTTCTTATACCAAGTGATGTTCACAGTCCTGCATCCATAAATGCATGAAGAGATGAAGCTAGGACTTGTCGAGGAAAGAAAGGAATGTAAAACAGTCAGTATAAGAAAGTGAAGCATTACTGTGGTGGAAGACTTTTTTCTTGTCTTCCCATGGACATCACAGAAATCACGGCATTGCTCGAGGCTTTCGGCAAGGCTCTGAAGATGAAATCGTTCGAGAAATATTTAAATCGACATCTCAAAGAAAGTGTCATATCTTTCTAGTACATATATGTTAAACTGAGAAGTTGGAATTTCTTTTTATTAGATTTTTGAAAAAAATTTCATAAAACTTCTATTGCATTTTATTTTCTATATAATTTCATAAAAAATATTAAGAATAAATTATGATAAGAATCTAGTTAATTTTAATTTTCTTTTTGATAGCACATCTAAAAGATCCTCAGCAGCAGTTTCTCGGGTCAGACGTGATCTTGATGTAATAGTCTTTTCGTTTTCCGGTTGGAATTACTTGAGGTATCTTCAACACGTCGACCCTTCACCTTCTCCAACTCTTGATGGTTCGAAATGGTAGTTCACAAACACTATCACCTAAAGGATATTGCTCAGATTTTATAGACAAGTCATTTCCTTCATTGAGAATTTACTAATTCATCAGATATTTTTATTGTAATCGGCACTCTTGTTAAAGTTTAATTAATACAGGTAACAAGGTAAATCCGGCTATTATGGAGTCTAGGAGATGGCCAATTCGATTTTTGACACTTCCCACCTGATATGGAATTCACAAGGAAGTAGATTCAGGTCCAGAAGAGACAATCTACTGAGACCAGGACCTTGGAGTAATTATTTATGTTATGAGTAAGGTAGTCATGAAGTAGTAATAGCGTAGTGACACTATGGTTTACCATAGGAAAACTTAATCAGACCCATACATGATCATATTTATTTTTATTGAATAATTTCCATTATTCAATAACAATAAATATATAATATAATTTAATTATAATAATGTTTCATTAATGTTTTTTTTTATTTATTAAATCGATTATTGGAACTTGATAACACCTGTTACTTGAAGGCATTAGGATTTTCAGAGCAAAAAATCGTCTAATAGATATTTTCCTAAATAAATATAAATAGTGTCACCTCAAATTAAAGCTGTTACGAGCAGATACCTTGAAAGACGGTGCTCCATACAGATAGAAAATATCTAAGAAAGCTTGGAATCGTGTCTTCTTCAGACGAAGAAAAAGAAGGAGAAGAATAAAAAGCAATTTTTCCGGTCGACGGTTTTGACGTTTGTGAACCACATCCGGGCTCAGCGACTTTTAAATTCGCACCATTGTCAAGCGTTAGTCGTTGCAAAATGTTTATTCAATTCCGTTTACCGTTTCACTGAGATATTTACTTGTCTGCTTTCTATATACAGACGACAATACGCGACATCTCGTCCTTATTCCTGTTGGGCATAAAGTTTGAATGAGAACGGACTCAAAAGTGACATGTAAACATAAATTTCTGTTGAGAAACTCAGTTATATTTTACTCTTTCGGTATATAAAGTAGGATATGAGTTTGGAATATAAATGAAATTGAATTTTCAAGATAGGAAAAATAAGGTTTATCAAGTTAATTTGTCAATATTTTATAAATTATTCTTTTAACAAATATTTTTAAAGTGTGAAAGAAGCTGAAACAAGATGGAATATTGAATGAAGGGAATAAATATTTACTGAGTGTATTCAAGAAACTTTTGCAGTTTACTATCTAAAAACATCATATTAAGAATACATTGAAGATGAAAAGAAGTCAAGGGAATAAAAAAAATTTTTAAAAGCTGAAGCACTGGTTGACTTTTTATTAAAAATCTTCCAACTATTCTATTAATAATGTAATTGGCTCTACTTTTATCCTGAGAGTTCTTCTGATTTGAATTACAATACCATTTATTTAATAATGTCTTTATAAAAATGTGAAAAAAGTTGTCAAAATGAGATTAATTGGATAATTATAGTCCATTTTAAAGAATTATGATTATTAAAATTTTTTTTCTATTATTCTAGTATGTTTTAGAGAGATTCATGAAATGCGACATTATAGTTTTGAAGTGAATAATGCTTAGATGAAAGAGGAAGTGAGATCGAAAAAATTGAGGCCAGAGAGTATGAAAAGGAGTTCGCAAGGAAGCACTCGTACAAATATAACGACGATACATTTTCCACAGCTGTTGAGTAAACTTTGAGTCTCTTCTTTTCTGATTCGTGTTTTTTTTTTCATTTTTATATTCATGTACCCGCGGTATTATCCATGATCAGAGATTTAAGTACAGAAAAGTAAAATTCTATGGCTACGTTTGGTTCCTCGTTCACTCATCCTCCTTGTTCGTCAATGTACGTGTATTTCGGTTTACTAGTATTATATATGACATGTTAGAATCCTGTACTTGCACAAGCTGCTTCAAATCCCCTTCTTGTAAGTTTATTTGTTAGATCTTTTGGATTTTCAAAAAGACGAAGTTCGGTGAACTGAAAAACTTATTTCCGGATGATACCCGCAAATTTCGCGTGCGCGAAAGATGCGGCGATCGATTATTTCCCGGATGGTATCAACAATATCGTTGCAATACAATCGCATACTTCACAAAGAGTAAAATGTTTCTACACAAGGGAAATATTTCACAACTATTTTCATTTAGACGGAAATAAAAATATTAAAAAAATTTTTACATGAATTAAATTTATATGTTCTTCGACTTAAAATAGAATCGTACCTTTATTTTCATATTTAATTTGTAAAAATTTATTTCTAAAAATATTCACTTTTATGTAAACTCAAAGCATTCAACGATTTTCAGACTCTTTTCGTATGATGAAACATATTTTGTATTTTATTTTTTAAAAATATCAGAACTTTAAAAAAACATTTCTCTATTTATTAATGGCATGAATTGCAAACTAAATAAACACCAGAGCACTGCTTTGAAAAAGAATTATTTTATCAGCAAAAATTCTTTGTCAAATATTTCCTTACAATTAATTATGCCAGCCCATTTTTATAAAAAAAATTTACTTTTTAATCTAAAGCTTTATGATGAGCAAAAATAATTCTCAATAGCATAATCCTTGTCTATCGATTGAATAAAACATGATGAAAACATTTCACTACATTTTAATTATAAAATTATGTATTATTACCAGTAGAAACATTTTTATTTCATTTTTATATTTCTCTTGATTAATTAGAAAAAAGGCAATATCAAACAATTTGCCTGGGTATCAAATATTTATTCATAAATATTTATTTGCATAACTTTATAACATTTTTTTTCGAGTAAGGATGTGATTTTTTTACATTTGATTTAATATAAATCAAATATTGTTCTTCTTCTCTGGAATGGAAAAATAAAAACAAATATCAATTACAGTATTCCACGCTGCATCGAATAACTGTTGAAATGTGAATGACATTATTTGAAGAGCATGAATTTAGATATTCCAACAGAGAATGCCGTCAATGTAATATTCCAAATTCCAAAATACGCGTGTTTATGTTAAATACCGAAGCATCGTCGTCGTAAAAGCCCAACACAATAGTTAAACTTGCATTCATGTTACGAGGTTTGCATTAGATAGCATTTACATGATGCTTTACGATCAAAACAATACTGCTTAATGAGCATGTCGATATTATTTATTAAATAATACTGTAAATGGTAGGTTCATTCGAAAGTTAATTCAATTAAGATATTAAGCATTACGAATGATCAATAATGATAGAGATTATTAATAACGTTGATGAAGATTCTTTAATGATAAAATTATGATGTGGAGCCATCAAAGAGAATGAAATATAGAAAAGGGGAAAGGAAAATAGAGGAGAGTATTTGATAGAATGTGAAAAATTTTTACAATGATAATAGATTCAACGGTTAAATGTTCTTAGCGTGAAATTAAATTTTTCCTCGTAAATTTAATTCTATATTAGATTGTCGGAACGATACTAGAGCTCCCAGTAAGAACATTTTAGCATTTTTGCTGACTTGTCAAAGACGTGACAGATTTTTAGCCATTTTTGTCATTCCCTTAAATTAAAACAGTAGCATACTCACTATTTTAAACGAGGAGCTTTCAGTGAAAATAATTGTTAAATGTATTTAAATTAATTTATTGAGGTGAAAAGTAGTTAATTTAGTGAGTGAAGAGGCTTGGAATGTGTTTTTTGTTTTGTTAAAAAAGTTGTTCAGTGCAGAATAAACGTTTTCCACTGGTAATCCAATATAAAATGAAAAAGTTTAAGCCCCAAAAATTCGTGGTGGAATAAAATTGATTTTTTTGCCACATTTTTCTTTTATTCTTTTTCTCAACACCTTGCGTATCAAAAAAATTTCGAAATACCTTGAAACTTTACTACCGCTTTTCTGTTAACTTTGTACTGAAAAGCAGAGTCGAAGCGGCACTTGGAAGAATCAGTTCGACTGCCCGAAACTTTTATTCTACATTTGGTGTTTTCCCTCTTTCTCTTCATACCATCCTGCGTACTTTTAAATTTTTCTCTTTACTTTTTCACTCGTACACTCAGCTACACCAAGTAAAGGAAATAGAAATAAAAAAGCATGACACTATACTGGTACGAT